GGATACTTGCCCAGAGTGTCCCTGTGATGGACTGGATACCTGTCCAGGGTGTCCCTGTGATGGACTGGAGACCTGTGCAGGGTGTCGCTGTGATGAACTGGAGACCTGTCAAAGATGTCTGTGATGGACTTGAGACCTGTGCATGGTGTGCCTGGAATGGACTGGACACTTATCCAGGGTGTCTCTATGATAGACTGGAGACCAATCCAAGGTGTCCCTGTGATGGACTGGAGACCTGTCCAGGGTGTCTCTGTGATGAACTGGAGACCTGTCAAAGGTGTCTCTGTGATAGAGTTGAGATCTGTCCAGGTGTTCCTGTGATGACTGGAAACCTGTCCAGGGTGGCCCTGTGATGGACTGAAGACCTGTTCAGGTGTCCCTGTAATGGACTGGAAACCTGTACATGGTGTGCCTGGAATGGACTGGACACCCATCCAAGGTGTCCCTGTGATGGACTGGAGACCCATCCAGGGTGTCCCTGTGATGGACTGGAGACCTGTCCAGGGTGTCTCTGTGATGAACTGGAGACCTGTCAACGGTGTCTCTGTGATGGACTGGAGACCTGTCCAGGTGTTCCTGTGATGACTGTAGACCTGTCCAGGATGTCTCTGTGACAGACTGGAGATCTGTCCAGGGAGTCCCTGTGACAGACTGACCTGTCCAGGGTGACCCTGTGATGGAGACCTGACCAAGGTGTCCCTGTGATAGAATGTATACCTGTCCAGGTGTTCCTGTGATGGACTGAGACCTGTCCAGGGTGTCCTTGTGATGACTGTAGACCTGTACAGGTGTCCCTGTGTTGGACTGGAAACCTGTTCAGGGTGTCACTGTGATGGACTGGAGATCTGTCCAGGGTGTCTCATGCCTATCGCAGTGACTGCTGGACATAGACACCAGCTCCTCACATTCTAAAAAAGAGGCTGATAAAATAAGACAGATGGATGATAGCTTAGTTGTGAAAATGATGTTGTGTGTGTGAGGGGGGGAGACCACTGGATTTGTGTCCAGTCACAACAATGGCACATTTAGGGGCAACAACACCACCAGCCTGATCAAGAAAGCTCATCAGAGACTTTACTTCCTCAGGCAGCTGAGACGAGCTGGTCTGGGAAGCTCAGTCCTCATCTCCTTCTACAGGTGTGCAGTGGAGAGCATCCTGTGCTCCAGCATAAACATGTGGCATGGAGGCTGCACAGCTGCAGAAAGAAAAGCTGCTTATTTTACTAAGAGCAAAGTCCCCTTTGTTTACCTGAACAAGCAGAACTTACACTGAAATCATTCTGTGGAGACACAGAATCAACTTGTGTCTTCCCGAATGGACTGCAGTATCTAAAACATGTCTACGGTCTTATGTATTGCTCATGACAGATTCTTCCTGATTCTAGGTACTGAGGCAGGATCTACCCCAGGGTTGTCATCAACTGGACCCAGGTCAACTGTGAAGCCAAATTTCTCCATCTACACCCCCAGCCAGACTACGATCACACCACGTAACACCGAGGCTTCACGTCCCCCGGATGGCACCACGACACAAATTATCTTCAATCCTAAGGCTCTGCCAAACAAGTTCACTGTAAGCAGCACAAAAAGGACTCAATACCTATGATTTGTGTAATTAATTGGGTTTTGACATTTTTCTTCTCTGCTTTTTTATTTATTATTATTCAGTATTCTCTGCTGGATGTGCTGGAGGTAAGACTTGATTTTTCTTGTTTTGTTGGAGTTGTTTCTTTAAATCTTTATCAAGCTCTAGCAGACTGTTTCAACGCACAGAACTAGGAGACAATGAGGCAGTTCTGACAATCTGGACCGGACCATTGTGCTGTCCATGAAAAACCAGCACACACCCTTCCCACTCCTTTCTTCAGGAATGCTTGGTGTGGGCACATCTGAAACACCCAAGACACAATAACGTTTATTTTAGTCACAGTACTTGTAGCGGGCCCTTTTCAATAAATGTCTTCAAATACACAATAGTGTAGATATTGCCAATGAAACAGCTTTTCAAACATATCTGTTTAAAAGTAAATGTAACTCTAAATATTGTCCCTAGGAGTGAGTAAAATGTCTGTCTCTGTGTTCCTGTGACAGATGGATCTGAAAATGATACAGTAAATGGACTATACTTATACAGCTCCTTTCTATATAATCAAGATACTCAAAGCTTTTTACAACACAATCTGTACCCTCATTTACCTCCACACACACATTCATACAGTACTCTACCACACACACATTCATACAGTACTCTACTACACACACATGTGGATGGTTTGGATGAAGTTATTATTTTTGACAATTCAGAGAGCTCAACAAGACAAAAACAATCCAAACACAAATCAGGCTCTAGTGAAATTTTAAAAGTTGTCTCATTTGACGGGGGACTAGGGATAATAGAAGGAAAGATGGTTTGAATTTTCTCTCTAACTGAAATAATTTTATTTATAAAGAATCTCATGACGTCATCACTACTTATAGTTGTAGGAATACATGATTCAACAGAGATGGGACTTAATTAGTCTAGCAATAGTACTAAACAGAAAACTAGGGTTATTTTTATTCTCATCTATTAAAGATAAGTAATATAAAGTTCTAGCTTTACGGAGAGCTTTCTTATACAGTATATTGCCAAAAGTATTTGCTCACCCATCCAAATTATCGGAATCAGGTGTTCCAATCACTTCCATGGCCACAGGTGTGTAGATGAACAGATCGCAGATATATTCATCAATTAAAACGGATTCTTCATTTTTCTGGACTGAATAAAACGTGCATTGAATTTAATGAAATGTAAACGTGAGACGTCATTTATCTTTGACCCATCAAAATGAATGCGGTCATTTATTTTACAGAATCAAAGTTTAACATCAAACATTTACATTAATTTGGCAAAATATGAAAATAACAACATAATTAAACAGCTTTACAACCAGGAAAACCATACGGCCATGATTTTCCGTTGCTTCACCACAGACATTAATGAAAACTGTACAATTATGATCAATTATCCACACGGCGGTGGATGAGCACTTTACACAGACATTTCTAAATTATCTGGAAGGATTTCTACTTGAGAGAAGAATTTAAAGATGGAAAGATGGAGTTTAAAGGGAGTGAAAGATGGTGTGTGAGGGGGAGTGTTGACCAGAACCGACACTCTCCATTCGAACCCAGCTTTTCCTCGGTACGCTTTGGTAGGAAACTTGACTCATTACCTTTCTGAAGATTAATCAGCAGATATGGAGGTCCAGTTAACGTTACCTGTCCAGCGTCTCCATAGGATGGCTGTGACTCGTCCGAAGTAGTGACTAGATTCCGTCCGACACAAGCTCACATCAGCAAGTGGACTTCACATGAGTGGAGTCCTTCAGAAGTTCCACTCAGAGGTGGAGGATGTTATAATCCAAACTCGGGAGAGCCTTATCATGGCTGGACTTCTGTTCTCCCAAACGACTTCACAGAACTGCGAACATCTCAGAACTTCTCCGCGCCGCCGAACTGAGAGAACTAGGAAGTACCGGCAATTTAAAGAGCTCTATTTCCGGTATATTTGAGCGTCCCTGATTGGGTAATATCAACCAGACAGGGGTGTGTTTTGTGATGTAAGAGGTTACTAGAAGTCAGAAAACAGCAAGAATTGTTATGGAACAGATTAAACTGTTCTCAGACAGGCGAGAGAAATATTTTGGCGAGTTTGGAGAACAGGTGCCAACTCCTCTGTTTACGCCTGAGAGGATTTTAAAACAAGACACATGTCTGCTTCGACTCCGACCTTGGACAAAACTTACACTTGCTCATTCAAAGACAGAAATCAGAAAATACATGATTACTCTGTAACAGACTTAACATGAACTCTAACTTTGCATAAGCAACTAAAAAATCATTGTTACTGTTTTACAGTTAATAAAATTGATTAGTTCACTGCAACATCTAAAATGGTTTGAACTAAGACACTTTGATTATCAACATTTGTAAAATAGTAATGATAATAAAAAGAGAGTGTTCTTTCACTTGATTTTCAAGAAAGAAAGTCTCAGGATGGGTGAACCTGTATTTCTGAATTCAAATCAATGAAATGACAGTTTCTGTCCCACAAGGTTCTTAAGGTCAAGGGTTTTGACCTTAGGCTTAGTTTTGACATCAGGTTAAGTTCACTACAGGTGTATAAAATGAAGCACCTAGGCATGCAGACTGTTTTGTGAAAGAATGGGTCGCTCTCGGGAGCTCAGTGGATTCCATCGTGGAATTGTGATAGGATGCCACCTATGAAACAAATCCAGTCGTGAAATTTCCTTGCTCCTAAATATTCTACAATCAACTGTCAGCTTTATTATAAGAAAATTGAAGTGTTTGGGAACGACAGCAACTCAGCCACGAAATGGTAAGCCACGTAAACTGACGGAGCGGGGTCAGCGGATGATGAAGCGCATAGTGCGAAGAAGTCGCCAACTTTCTGCAAAGTCAATCACTACAGACCTCCAAACTTTATGTAGCCTTCAGATTAGCTCGAGAATAGTGCAAAGAGAGCTTCATGGAATGGGTTTCCGTGGTCGAGCAGCTGCATCCAAGCCATACATAACCAATGCAAAGCGTTGGATGTAGTGGTGTAAAGCATGCTGTCACTGGACTCTAAAGCAGTGGAGGCGCGTTCTCTGGAGTAACGAATTGCGCCTCTCCATCTGGCAATCTGATAGATGAATCTGGGTTTGGCGGTTGCCAGGAGAATGGCACCCTGCGGTGTGCCAAGTGTAAAGGTTGGTGGAGGGGGGATTATGGTGTGGGTTTTTTTTCAGGAGCTGGGCTTGGCCACTTAGTTCCAGTGAAAGGAACTTTGACTGCTTCAGCATACCAAGACATTTTGGACAATTCCATGCTCCCAACTTTGTGGGAACAGTTTGGAGCTGGCCCTTTCCTCTTCCAACATGACTTTGCACTAGTGCACAAAGCAAGGTACATAAAGACATGGATGGCAGAGTCTGGTGTGGATGAACTGACTGGCCTGCACAGAGTCCTGACCTCAATCTGATAGACACCTTTGGGATGATTTAGAGTGGAGACTGAGAGCCTGGCCTTCACATCCAACATCAGTATGTGACCTCACAAATGCGCTTCTGGAAGAATGGTCAAAAATCCCCATAAACACACCTCTAAACCTTGTGGACAGCCTTCCCAGAAGAGTTGAAGCCGTTCTAGCTGCAAAGGGTGGACCAACTTCATATTGAACCAACCCTATGGATTAGGAATGGGATGTCACTTAATCTCATGTGAGTCAAGGCAGGTGAGCGAATACTTTTGGCAATATAGTGTATGTTAGCAGACTATCTTTCCAAGTTAAATAAAATTCTTCAACACTAGTAGAGTGTCATTTTCTCTCCTGGTTTCTAGATGTCTGCTTTAAAGGACGTAACTCAGAATTGAACCAAGGAGCCAGTACCAAGGAGCCAGTTTCCTTTGATTGATTACTTTCTTTTTCAGTGGAGCAATTTTATCAAGTGAAGTTTGCATTGAAGATGTAAAATGATCAACTAGATGATCTAAGTCACTGTTCTCTGATGCATTACTCTGCAAGACAGAAGAAAACATTGATGGAAGAGACTGTTTAAATTTGGTTACAGCATTTTCTGATAAGCACCTGCTGAGATGAAATTTACTCTCAGTGACTGTGTAGTCATTTAATGTAAACTCAAAGTTTATTAAAAAATGGTCGGACAGGATAGGATTTTGAGGAACTATTACCAAGTCCTTAATCTCTATACCATAGGTCAGAACTAAATCAAGAGTGTGATGATGAGAATTAGTATATGTGCTACTGATGACACTTTGGGTAAAACCAAATGACTCAATTAAATTATTAAAGGCTATGCTTAAGCTATCACTTTCAACATCTAAATGAACATTGAAATCACCCATTATTATGACTTTAACAGTATTTAGTAGTAAGTCAGTTAAGAATTCTGAGAATTCAGACAAAAACTGAGAGTAAGCGCCTGGTGGACAATATATAACAACTAGTAAAAGTGGCTTTTCTGATTTCCATTTTGAATGAGAAAGACTGAGGGACAGCGATTCAAAAGAATCATAACTAATAACTGGTTTGGCATTAATCAATAATCCTGACTGAAAAATAGAAGCTACTCCTCCACCTCGGCCAGTTGTTCTAGGAACATGAAAATTTAAATAATTAGTCAAGTCAAGTCAACTTTATTTATAGAGCACATTTAAAACAGAACCTGTTATCAAAGTGCTTAACAACAACAACAACAACAACAACAACAACAACAACAACAACAACAACAACAACAACAATAAATCAATGAGTAAATTAAAGAGAAAAATATATAAACATATATATATATAATACACTAATAATGATAATAACTGAAGAATTAATAAAAAGCATTTAAAACATAGGGTCACAGATTAAAAAACACTAGATCAATTTACACTGTATGAAATGCCTGAGAGAAAAAATGTTTTAAGCAGGGATTTGAAGTGAGTAAGGGATGTGGCCTGCCTGATGTTGTGGGGCAGGTTGTTCCAGAGTTTGGGGCCCATGACTGAAAAAGCCCGATCTCCTCTGAGCTTCAGTCTTGTTTTTGGAACAGCCAAAAGCAGCTGATCGGATGATCTCAGGGCCCGAGAGGGAACGTAAGGTTCCAGAAGCTCAGAGGTAAAGGGGTGTGAGGCCATTT